AGGTCAAGGAGGAATCAATCTGTGAGAGAACACGTGCAAATAACTATTTGTACAAAATATTAGAACCATCGAATCGACAATTACAAATTCATTGCTGACCAAATGAGGCAGGCATATTTTTCCCGCATAAATGTTAAAAGCGAGAGGTGTCTACTATTGCTAAGGACTACATGCATTTGATTTATTATATTGCATTTGCCATTTGCAATAAACTTCAGATAACTTCCTCCCATCATCATTACAAAGGTTTAACTCATTGAAAGAGAAAAACCCTCAAAGCAACGATAAATTACCGAGACGTCATATTTGTTAAACAAATTCGATAGACACGTTTGCATTGTAGTAATGACATTTATGATCCCTTAAGGAGTCTTTAAAATTCAGTAATTCATAAAACCCATACACTTTTCCTTTCATCGCCTGCTCTCTCTTGTAAAACACGATGTATCTCTTATATTTCCATCTCGTAAAATCTCTGCCCCATACGATACGCCACTAATTCGAAATTCTCGTCAAGTAGGCACAGAGGGTCTCTTCGCCCTCATCGCTCTGTCTCTCTCACAGAAACACGTTCAAACAGTGGTTAGAGTGAGTATATCGCTATGAGGTGAGAGGAGAGAGGCGTCACGCGAGCGCGGATACTGCTGGATGAAGTGAGATGAACAACGACGCAGTGAGGAGAAACAGAGTGAGAGTCAACGGTGGAACGTGAGTGGCTTGAAACGAGAGGGAGAGAGCGCGAGACATGGAGTGAGAGCGAAAACGGTGATTGATTTTTGTCGTGGCTTTGCTTGTCGCTATCCCACTATCCGCGATTGTGCCAGCGCTCTCGTTTCTGCGGTGAGCTCGACGTCGGCGTCCCGACGCCGTCCAACGATTGGCGGTTACTATCCCCCGGGGGCGGCGCTAATCACTAGACCGTGAACGGAACTCAACGTTAACCGCTATCTCTCTGTCTCTCTCTCTCTCGGTCTCTCCCTCTCTCTCACTCATGCACGCCGTCCCCTCTCTATACAACTGAACACCACTTCGCTTCAAAACCACTTTAACACGGTGTACTTCGAAATATCTCGGTTTCTCTCATTCCCCATGGCTTTTGCTCTCCTTACCTCTCAAAGGTCCTCTGGTTTTGAAGGAATGACCCGACATACGATTTCACATCTCTGTGAGTTGTCTCGTATAGTAGTGTTATATGAATGCAGGGTTCAAACACAACCGTTTGCCAAAGTGGGAACAGTTGGGAATGTTAACCGACGAAACTAGGAACGATGGAAAATGAAATCTTCCTCTATTATATTATTATTTGTCCTCATCCAATTCTCAGCCTGGTATCTCACGTTACTTAAAATGAGGTAGATGAAAAGCGGAACTGAGAGGGAAGGGGTGGTGTTCTGGTTGGAGGAACACTTCAGAGTCACTCACTCTATCTCTCACTCCAAAGGGGTCAAAGATTTTTAATTAAAACTTAAGAGGACTGAGATACCGTAGGAGAATTCTAATGAACTTTTCAGAGTAGTTTTTGTGTCAAAAGGGAAAAAATGAACACTTCAGAAGACGCTTCATGCGAATTGATTGAAGTTTACTCTGTTCATTATTGAAGTACACGATACTGCTTTCCGTGTACATCATCTTTCAACAATAGAAGTGCCATCGGGGTTGAGATTTAAAGACACCTCGGTATTGAAATAGTTTCGTAAATCGCCGAGATGACATTTTTAGGCAAGAAAATAGCAGGCAGCAAGAATACCTCACTGATTCAGTGGGCAATGTAGTTGATAAAGGCCGATAAATCGCGAGTAAAACTGAGTGATAATATCGCTGAGTGGCACCCGGAATGTGTGGTGGGGAGGGTAGTGCTCTCGTGGTCCCATGGAGTTGTCCGGTGGGTTGAGAAGTTGTTGGTCCGTGAAGTGAGGGGAGGAAATTGTAGCAGCGGCGGGAGTCACGAGTGGGAGGAAGTCGCGACGGGGAGGGGAGACGAGCAGGAGAAGGGGTATAGCTTGCAGCGATGGAGGGGCAATTGAGGGGAGGCAGGTAGTAGTGGCGATGTAGGAGAAAGACAATGTAGGGGGAAGGAATACGGTTGGAGGGACCAATGGACATGCGCGGGTGTGTCGCGACACGACGGCGACCTTCTGGCCACCTCCAGAAACAAAATGGCTACTCTGGAGGATAAATTTGCTCAGAGATGGCGACACTCACATCTTTGAGGCATTGGCTGGTTTATAAAAAATCCATTTTCTACGGCTTCAGAATATTTTACTTCACATAGGATGGAGAAGATGATGCAGTCAGTGACTTCCCGATTATTATTGAATTATAGAAGGTTGAATGTCTGGTACACTGAAAAAAAAAATTTCCAATATCTTAAATATATTTAATTCAGACAAGTAATTTTTCGTCAATCGCTTAATTCTCATGTCTCATGTTTTAAAATATTCTTGTACTCAAGTATGATGTCGCAAATGAAGTCACTCAAATCGTGTTGAAGACTCGTCAAACTTCGAGTAATTATTACTTTCGTGATATTCTTGAATACACGTTCAATGTTTCCATGTATAATATATCCATGACGTAACGCAGAACGGTAGCGAAAAATGAGAATTTATTCGAATTCCGTGAAGCGCAAACATTCAGATTTAAGCCATTGAAAATAATTTATTTCTCTCAAGTAAATATGGTCCCCATATTAGGAAATTTCTCTCTCATTGTATTTTCTGTATCAACCACACAGAGAGAAATATTCAATAAAAATTACGTATCTTTTCCGTAATTCCGAAGCGAAATGTGGTTGTAGGAAATTTTACGGAACTGTAACGGAATTTTTCCAGAGCGTTCCGTAATTTTGATCTGAATCTCTTGTGAAAAATTACGATACCGTCGCTTAAATTTTCTGAGCCCATTCCGTAATCGGTGAGCGAATTGTGAGTTCCGTAATTTTTACTGAACATTTCTCTCCGTGCACATGTCCAAGAATAAGAATTCAGAATTACAGAGAAAATATTCAACCAATCTGTGAATAATTGAATCGAGGTGTATTTATAGGCTTTGGAGTGAACCTTTTCTCATTTTATATTTATGGAGCTGAGGTCAATCAGTGACTGAGATCGTCTGTGCCTTTGCGAAAACATCAGTTATTCATGGAATTTTATTGGTGAGAGAATACTTCCTCAAGAGATAGCCAGTGGGGTCTTGCCATGAACTCTGTATGGATGTTTAACATGTAAAATATACGAAGAATTGAATATCGCATGATAGAAAACACAGTATAGAGACAAGGTATTAAGGCGTTCTTCAGGATGTCTTGTAGGTGAAATTACATCCTCAATAAATTACTTTTAATTTCCTACACTGATAGAAATGGTGGAACGACTCAGTGGCACCAAACGAGGCTTCTTAACTGTTATCGCAATTCGTTAATAGTTAACGAATCGTGGTAATAGTTAAAAAGTCTCGTTTGGTTTGACTAAACCGTTCTATCAGTGTATCCAGACTTATTTTCGATTCAATCAGATGGCTCTCCATCAAGCCAACTGAACGATTTGAAGGCCATTCTATGCAAGAGCTTCAACAAATTTCGATGCAATGAATACGATAACCACAGGTGGCACATAGGAAAAAAATGTTGGATCATCAACAGCATTTGACGATCTTGTGTAACGCCGCAACTTTTCTCACCAAGGTTTTACAGTGTCATCTTACTATCCACCTCAGTAAATATTTTCTGGGTTACATACGTGTGGTAAATTCGTTGATGCATACGTATACCCAGTGTGGCGATAAAGAAAACTTTGGTAGGATGGTAAAAGCCAGTAGTAAAAAAAAATTACCTGCGAGGCAGAACGGCTAGAGATTCACCCTACGGCAGTATACACGCTCATACTGTTTTCAACGTTGAAAAAATAGTGGCCGTGACGCGATAATAAGTGCCTCGCAAAACTCAGGTTTTACGTAGGGTTTACGATTTGTTGCGGTTTATCGGCACGAATATACCGCTACGTTTTTCCGGTGTATTTCCTCTTGTTTTTTTGCTGGCTCTTGATACATCGATTTTTTTCACTATCTGAAAGAGTACACGTTGAAGCTCTACGATGGTTTGAGAGTGTGGATTCAGGATACGAGCGGATGCAGAGATGTCCATTCATGAAAATTTAATTTATCGGCGAAGCTATCACTTTTTAACGTAATACTGCAGATATGTTTCTTAGTGTATCCGCGAAGAATATATTTTGAGGAATTGAAGAAGTTACCGAGTAGAATCAATTCACGAATGAGTCATGTTTCTGACTCAGGAACAACTTTCCTTTTTTCGTAAATGAAGAAAAGACAAGTGATGATAGCTAATATTTAAAACTTCACGTAATAAAAATTTCGTTGTATGCAATTTAACATGGAAATAACAAAAAAAACAATCCCAGTAAATCATAAATTCATTGATCCCATGAAATCAAATGATAGACCGCAATAAAGATTGAACCCATAAATATTCATCAATAAAATCCCTCCAAGTATATCAATGTACTTTTATTGAGAACACCTGTTTATAAATACTGTCATAATATTGAACTTGAACTTGAACTTGACACCCATTCACTGGCACTGAAACGACTAAACGTTAATTGAATCATACCCGAGCCCATTATAAAGTCAATATGAATTGAATATGAAAAATGTTAATATTTGTATCTAAAGAAATCATTGATCGGGTTTTGCTTTTGAATACACGACAGATAGATATTCGGTACACGGCATTAATTTGTCGAAAGCACTCGCGTCAGTGCGCGAGAGTGAATATCATTTGAATGCATTAAAGCGGCCTCCCTTGCAACAGTGTGTATGCCACAGGCCCACGTTCGTGTCCACCCAGTGCCTCCGGTGTATTATACACATACCGTCACATGCACATTTGATACTATAAATGTTTTTCTTGTTTGTATATGAATATGTGTAGATAGGTAGGGAAAATATTACGTCGAATGAATCGCACAGTATTTCTTTTTCACACTGTTTCAGAGTGGAATTCCCGGTGTATGGATATCAAATGGTCGATTCTCTTCTCGTTTTATCCCACAGATACGCCAAGTGCTCGTGCCAACATTGAACTTCTCTCAACCTTGTGATTAATCGTTCGATGCCTAATTGCGGCTTGACACTGAAAGCAAATGAGACAGGACAGGGGTGAGATGTATTTAAGGAGAGTCACATTGGATGCAACTTATTTTTACGTTATTGGTAGTTGTTGAAGATAATTTCTTTTGATGTATTAACGGAAAATAATTTTTTATGGTTAACTTTCATTTAATAGAACAAAGGAAGCTGTAGGGATAATATAAATTGACGATGATGCCCATATATGTATCATTCTACACTTGCAGCGCATCCATATGACGAACAGGAGATTATATAATAATTATATTGAACACGTAATAGCCATTTCCAGCTTCTGGAAATTTTCTACATTTTTTGGCTATGAATCTCATTGGTAAGGAATCAAATTACCCGGAATTGAAATTTATTACTGTTTGGAATAGTCCCTGCATATTTACACACTTGAGTGTCAACAGCGGCTCAACATTATAAGGACAATAAAATCAATGGTAAGTGTAATAACTCTTTCTGTGGTAAAGTTCGTGGCAATACCAAAAACCAGTATGAGAATCCATTGGTCTCGTATAGGTTACTCCTTCTTCTCAATTTCTCAACTCAACACAGATGTAACAACTTTCAATTGTTTTTCACTTAAAAAAAATGTTTTACGTTCAACTTCTTCTCAGCTCCAGCTGACGGGAAAAGCTACAGTTTCGGATAAGTTTCGTAGTTGCACGTGAAATTTTCGCGGCTCAGCTGGAGGGACATTGATTGGCGAGCGTTGGATGGATGAAAGAGGAGGAAGAGAGGCGAAAGTGGAGAGAAAGTGAGATAGAAGCAAATGATGGGTGGGTGGGCTTATATGACCGACGAAGAAAGGGTGGCACACAGCGCTGGCAGCGCGCGGTGTGCTCGGCCGCACGGACAGCCGACTGGCTTTCGGTTGGTTTGGTTCGTTGCCTGGATGTTTTTAGGACGGTAGATAGGGACCCCGTTGCCTCATGCATATTCAGCGGCACTCTCAACTCCTCCGTCACGGAGGGAAAGAACACCCCCTGGTATTCACCCTCTCGCTCCCCTCCAAACAATCCCCCCTGCCCATCCCCGGACAGTTCCTCGCCACACTTTGGCCAACCATACCAGCATTTGCGCGTCCGCGTTACTTCGGGATCGCCCCCTCACTCCTCTATCTACCCCCCGGACACCCCCTTTGAGCCCCATTCCTTGTGACAGAGAGAATAAGGGACTAAAGAAAGTGCCCCATCGGAATGAAGGAAAAAGGAGAGAAAAAGTTGAAAAAAATGACCCTGTATATTGGGGTGTTTGCGATTTCGTCTGTTCATATTTTCCCGGGGATTCGTGACTCGACGACAACTCAGGGTAACGCTAAAAGACGTGAAATAAGTCTTGAGGGATGAACCCTGAGAAAAAACCTATCGCAGTATTGATCTCAGGGAGTGGTAATAGAAATGTTGAATAAGAGTGTAGGTATTGAAATTGAGTCTTGAGCTGTTATTTGATTTTTTTAGAGAGAATAAAAAGTAGTCGTAGCGGTATTCTTGAAGTGTTTCCATTCCACTTTGAGGTTTGACAATGGGTGGTAAAGCCAGCGGTTTTAGAAGATAGATCGGAATGAAATTTTCATTCCATCATAGTGCGTGAATTTTAAAGGTTAACTCGATTTAGCTGCACATAAGGTGTCGAACAATACGCATCAACTCCGAATTCTCCATTAAGGCTATATTAATATTGATATTAATTTTGTATTCCGTCACAATTACAGAACACTACTGTACATAAATCTTGAGATGAGTAACCCATTAAGGTCGCCAACAAAAATCTCAAAAAAACCATAAGTTGGATTCCACAGCTACAAATATATTGGGAAATACGATGTCGAGTCAGCAATGACTATAAGGATAGCCAAAGAAGCGTGCCAGTCGTCTGCTATCAGAAGGAAGCGGTGGGGCGGTGAAGGTAATCTTTTGCATCCTCATTGGTTTTATGGTGTAACTTCACTCGAGGCCAGTCTCCCTGGCTTAATGAGTTTGTAACACAACTCAGAGGCCAATGCAACAGAACCCCCAATGAACCTCCACTGTATCAACTCTGCTCTCAGGAGAAATTGCGTGGCATCGATAGGTGAACTATACCTTGACCTCACGCGCCACTTTTGCTGTTCAGACGCCGATAAGATAGAGGTGTGTACCGCGGATAGCAGAAATACCTTACTGCTTTCTTTATTTCACGCCTGGGCCTTAAGTTGCACTGGCACACAATGATTTTTGGAGTAAGGTGTCGGTCTAAATGGTTGAATCGATCGAGCAAATATAGATTTTATCATAGGATGAATTGAAATTGGTCGCATGAGGAAACTGTCATTGTAGTATATTGTGTTACTAGTGCCTAAAGTTCCACTTTTTCACACGCACGTGTAACACATCCTATTTTTGTAGTACCTGCCGAGTTCACTGTTTGGAACGGTACTACCCTAGTAGAAATTTCATTGCGCAGGATCGTCGCGACGTAAGTTGGCGCGCAATGTTTATGCGGGAACGACCTATCTGTGTCCGCCCTGACCTCAAATCCTGTCATTTAAGAATTCACAAACTTCAGATTATGCGTACTAATTCAAATCAATTATTGAAGGATTAACGGTTTGTTAGTGAATAATAATCTCTTGCAACTAATTGATGATTATTATTATCGATAAAATGAAAAAATGGAAGCGCACCGCGTCAGCGTTGCATAGGGTTCCAGCAGCAACCTAGCCGTGGAGTACGGCAGCGCACTCAGTGCGTGAATGCCGCTGCGACAGCCAATGTCTCAGAGGCTCTCACAATTTCTACTCGGGTAGTGGGGTTATATGGTTGTTTTTTGTGCACAAGTGAAGCCTCGCTTTATGCACTCGAAATTCACTTTACGTACGCTCTTGAATTTTACGTACGCCATGCGGAAAGCAACCGCGTTACGTACATAAAACCGTTTCCAAAAGTGCACTTTTGAGGCAGGTATCACGAAAATATTGAGAAGAACATACTCAACGCTTATTGCAGGTTACATTTGCAAGTCTGGTGGTGCGCTACCATGCACTATGATACTGAATCGGATTCACTGAGAAAAAAAATTCTGAAATTTAGGAAAAAAATGGATAGATTCAAGGAACTACTTCTCTTAACATGTATCATAGGTCAGATGACAAAAGCTAGCAAATTTTTTCATTTTTCGTACGAAAAATTTGCAAGAAACAATGTTTAAAAATTCTCATGTTCATGCATTTCTGCATTGCATATAGAAATAATTTTCTAATATCAATTTCGATTTTCTTTGATGTTCAAGAAATTTCAATTATGAAAAAACTATAAAATACCCTGTGAGTAAAAAATCTCGGACTATTTGCTGATTCCCACATTGAAAAAAAAATCATCTTCAATTGATCAAAATTCTTCTGATTACTTTTATACAATCAAAAAAAAATTATACAAAATTTCCTTGACTCTAAAAAATGCATATTGAAAACCATTGCTTGTAAAATTTGCAAAATTTCGACTTTCAATTCATCGAAATCTTTATAATTGTTTCAAGACATTTTTTTTAATCAAAAAAAAAAATAGATTCTACAATAGTGTAGTACAGGTCAAGCACCGTAAAAAGACTCGTAAAAGACTCGCCTTCGGCTCGCGCGGGTATAGTTCATTTCGTCAGGGAGTCTTTTTTACGGTGCATGACTTGTACGATATTTTTCATGCTTCTGTGTGGCAAATTCACGACCGCGAAAAGCCTAACCTGCGCAGAAAAGTGAATTTGCCGCGCAGAGACATGAAAAATGATATTATTAGATGCCGCGTTTGGTTACAATCTGCATTTTGAGTTCTTATATACCTTCCCCTCCATTGAAGGTAAGGGTGGGGGGAGTGAAGCGGGGGGTCAGCCAATCATTTCTTTAACCGTTATTGATCGCGATTTTCTAGCATCTCACTAGCTGTACAGTGGCGCCTTATAGATAGCGTATGCCACAGCGCGGATTCCCTCACGATTCAGCCACTTAAGGGTTAATTGATCTGCTGGTCAATTGAAGACAAAAAAACAAACAAACGCGGCATTCATCAGGAAGCAAATGATATCAATAATCATAGTATATTCGCTACCTAGGGAGGGAAAATATAAAGGATTCGCGGCCACGTGCAGAATTACTCCCCGAGCCGAAGACAAGGATGGTACGCACATGGGTAAAGGTCCTGTATTTTACCTCCCGTAGTCAGGACGTTATTTTCTGTCAGGGCGTAGACGCAATTTCAGACGCAATTTGAAACTGAAAAAAAAATTGAGACCTGCCTCCCCTTTTTTCTGTAAAAATTCGCTATCTCCCTTAGTTTCCGATATATTTTTGAAAAACTCACCGACGCAATTTTTTCGGTTGTAAATTCTCAATTCATAACCCTCTCCTCTCCCCCTCTTTGCAAAATCCCCTCTCCTCATATCTAAAATTCCCGATATTTCGGCACCCCTCCGTAGGTATGGGGCACTTACGCCCTTTGAATACCTCGGCCGCAATTTTTTAGTTCGATCTGAAAGTTTTCTAAAATTAAGAAAAATTCAGCATTGGTTTTTGAAAATATTAGTTCTTAAAAACAATTCCCAAATTGGGTAATTTTTATCATCCCACCAAGGATAAAGCTTAAGAACAGGAGTTTCTAAAATCTAGAAACTCCTGTTCTTAAGCTAATCCACTTTTTTCTGTGTGAATACCTAGCGGAAATGGTCCGAAAATTATTATTGAATATGCGTTAAGTCTTCAAGATATTTTTACGATTATTCTGATAGACATAATCCACTAACTTGACAGTTCTATTCCTTGATTTGTGTAGCAAAACTGCCAATAGTGTTCGATTAATACTCAAAGTTAAACATTGAAGAAAATGGAAGGTTGAGGGCATATGAGTGACAATTTCTCTTTGTCGAACATTCCTGACTGTACGAATTTACATTACCCTGTTATCACAATAAGTTGATGAAATGGCTGGACAAGGGCGAAACAGGGAGAGAGTGGATGGATATCGTCCTTCGTTTTGAACCTCATTGGAGTCCTGTACGATGAAAACGTCCAGCGTTTCTCTCCGGGCCAATTATGTAAATGACATGGGGATTCCGGAGGGGTCGGCAGCGTCGCGGCGTCGAGCAAGAGCATCTGGCTTCATTCTTAACTCAGATACATGAACACGATACGTTTTAATCATTATAATTTTTCACAATCATTCATGAATTAAAATGATGGTTCAATAATTACCGGTTTCATGATGAATCAATTTGCTTGCAATTAGGCATTTGAGCTTTGACTTCCTATTGGTATGGTTTAGACACCCTAGCAGTGTTCATTAACTCGACATTTATCAATGGTAGTATTATTTCAGTGTGCGAAACGCAAAGGACGGTATAGTGTGGAGGCGCGCCGCGAATGCTAATGCGTTACGCTCAGTCGGAGAATGTCAAAAACATATTATTCTAACAAATTACATATGGAGAGAATTGTTGACTGGGGTCAGTAAACTTTTATATTTTTCTTCATTTTGATTCAAATGAAGAACTAATATCAACTATTCAAGCTAGAAGGATGAGTTATTTCGTTTATTTACATTCTTCAATATCGCTGTTTTACCCTCTGCAATTCAATACGGTATTCTACCACTTCGTCCTTTGTTTTCGCTTCAGGATTCAAAGCATATCATTTATTCACTCCAAGTTTTTTTTCAATGAGGAATTCTCTATTGTGATCAACACTTTACCTAAATTGCTCAGGTTATGCATGAACATTAATGTATCTGAATAGTCTCTTATAAATACTTTCTATTTGTTTACCTTCATTCGGGAAAAAATAATTTTTCTTTCAGTATCCTACAACTTTTTACTGAAGAACAACGATTACTCATTTGAAATCTACATCGTGGACAGATCGAATACAGTGGGCTCCACTTCGAGTCACACTCGAGGGGGAATAGAGAAAGCGAATTCTGCGACTATATTTCCGTACTCCATGACAACTTTAAATTCGGAGAACCACATTTAAGTGAAATGCAGAGAAATAAAAATACCTCAATATTGACATCGGAGAGAGCGAAGGTGAGCGAAACTGGTGGGTAGTGTTAATTTTGAAACAAATCGATGACGGGATCCTAAAGAGAGCGACTGTAACAAGAGTCTTGTATTTATGCTATTTTTCTAGCTGCAGAAATCATTTTCGGGATATTTGATCATTTCTTCTCTTACAATTGGTAAAAGTGTTATCGTGAAATTGGATCTCAAAATTTCCAATTCTACGATCCCAATTCTAGTATAAACCTATTCAGGATACGCGACACAATTGTGTGAATACGTCAAGATCTAGATTGAATGAAAGAAATTGTAATGCTAGGTAAAGCAGACAATTACTGGTCAAAGGGTCTAATGCAAATTTTGAAGGTGGGAACATTTCAAATATCTCACAATAGTGTATTCATGCAAATAAATGATTTTTCAACAGTTTATCCCTGGAATTACTATGTCTGTTCCACGGAGGTTTTCTTCAATCCAGTCATCCATTTCTTTTTCGATTTCTGGTGATATAACTTCTTTGTAACCACCTATTTGACCTTTACTCACGAATATATTACTCATCTGTTCTGCGTCGGAGCTATCGTCAAACATGTGTTGACGGAAAGAATCGATGTCCAAATAATGGACACTTTCTTGAATTTGACTTTCTGTGTATGGTTTCCCCAAAAAATTGGCTATCTTCTTGATCGTGCCAGGTAAGTCCTATTTTCAATAGACATTAATAATCACTATAGATATATTAGGTGTATACATTAATTTTCGGCCAATAGATTAAATTGATTAGACCACCTATTGGAATTGAAAAAATTCCTGCAATTGAGACACTCCCTTCTTTTCACTTCCCAGCTCGCAAAAACTGCCGTAGAAGTACTAGAAATGATTTGTTCGGCCTTGGGCGAGAGTGCTGTATTTTATAGTGCATGTAAAAAGTGGTTTAAAAAATTTCGGGATGGAAATTTTGATCTCCAGGATGAAGAATGTTCTCGGCAACTAAAAAAAGTGGAGGACAAAGAGTTGGACAACTTACTCAAGGAAAATCCCTGTCAAACACAACAGGAGCTTACAGATACTTTCGGAGTGACTCAAACAACTATTCCGGTGCGTTTAAAAAGAATTGGGAGGATACAGAACGAAGGTCGTTAGGTGACCTCAGAAAACAAAAGTCGTCGGTGGGAAATTCCAATGTGCCTACCAAATTCAAACAAAAAGACTTTACATAAAATTGTGACGGGGGATGAAAAGTGAATATTTTACCACAATCCTAAGAGGCAAAAGTCGTGGGTTTATTGGGGGAAGTCGTCAATGAGCACTCCAAAATCGAACATTTACGGGAGCAAATTGTTGTCGTGTATTCGGTGAAATTCCAAAAGTGTAATCTATTATAAGATACTCGAATAGGCGGAAACTGTCACTGCTAAGCGTCATCACGACCAACTGGTGAAATTGAGTGATGTTATTGAGGAAAAGGGACCTTTTACTGATGGTGGTATGAGGCGAGTGATTTTGCTGCAGGACAACGCGCAGCCACACACAACAAATGAAACTCTGAAAGTTATCCCCATGTTGGGCCGGGTGATTCTCCCATATGCGGCGTATTCTACAGACCTTGTGCCTTCTATCACCTTTTTCAGGCGCTACAACAACACCTGGTGGATACCCAGTTTCAATCTCCTGAAGAAGTCCGACAGAGCATGATGACTTCATCCAGTCAAAACCACCATCTTTCTACCGAGCCGGAATCCGACAATTGCTCCACAGATAGGAAAAACGCGTGCAAAGTGACGGCGATTATTTTCAAGATTGGATCTGTATTAATTTTTTTTATAAGTAAATGTCAAAATAGTCGAAAAAAGGCCGAGAATTAATTTATACATCTAATAAATCAGTTTCTTATGAATATGTGTTATATGGAAGAGCGTAAGCAATAATCATAGACGAACATTACCTGCTGTATATCTTCGTAGAACAAAAATAATACATTGGGGTTATTTCGTTGTGCCCAGCCTTCTTTAATATGTTTCCACGTTGGTTCATATAAAACTGGAATTAAATGATGCTAGAAACTGTCGGATTATATTTGAGTTGAATAAAACTTCACTTAAGTTACTCACTCTGTTCCTCCTTGACATAACGCCAGAACATAGCAAAATCTACCTCACATGGTATGCGAACCATAGTAGGTAGTCATTTCCACTAAGAAACAAGTCTGTCTTTAGGATTCCGAGCAACGTATATCGTCTGGAATTATAGAATAGTTTGATCCATTTCAGTTTCAAGTTGATGTTGTGGAAGAATAGTAATGACTAGTGATATAAAGTACAGTTTCCGTTAAAATGGTACATACATGCCTAGGCTAATAAAGTATTTTTCATCACGCTGTGCGAAAAAGTAACTTTTTAGGCACGCTTCGCGTGCCTAAAACGTCCCTTTTCCACACATTGTGATGAAAAATATTGTTCGATACTCGTGGGAAAAGTGTTTTTTGNTAGCATGAGCCGTCGGCTCGTGCTATAAACCTCCCACGAGCCAAAAACACTTTTCCGCACTCGTAACGAAATATACTATTTCGATTTACTACAACATTCTATATTACGCACCAACAGCATCGCAAGGTTCAAGCGACATTCAATTTCTGCTAGGGTGGCAAGGATTATAATCACATGCATCAGAAAATACATTTTTGAAACACGTGCTTGGAAAAGTCCCTTTTCGTTTACAGATTTTTGTGCGAAAAGTGGCACTTTTCGTCACTTTTAAAGTTGTAAATGGAAAGTAACTTTTCGTTTACGGGATTCATTTTTCGTTTACGGGATTTACTTTTCGTTTACGGGATTCACTTTTCATTTACAACAGCTGACTTTACAGTTACAAGTTTAGGGTTCACTTCTATGTCACCGTTTGAAAGATGGCACCAGTCGGTACGTTTTCGACCAATCCAGTGTCGTTATTCCTGTAACTATGTACGCCGCTGAAAACATCGGTCTACTGTCGGACTGAGGAGATTGTAGCCCTGAGTGTCAGAGGTGGGAGACAACGATTGTAGTGGGGATTGGGAAAAGTGGGGGTAAATTTGAGGACCACAATCTCCTCAGTTCAACCATACTCGTCTTGACGGAATTACATCAGCCATACGGCAGCCATTACGCGTTAGTCAGTGGCCTTTCGGATTTCATGAAGCATTCCCTCGTCATCCTCCATGTTAGTCAAAACATCAATCCCACAATAGGATGACTTTTCCAAACACTTATTTCAAAAAATAGTAAACGTTACACTTGTGAAAAAGGGGGACACGTTAAACTCGTGTGTTAATATTTTTAGGGAGAGTCGTAGGACACGCGCAGCCTCGCGCTGGACTCGGCTTGTCTCATCTTGTCTATCGCTCGGCTGCGCTTGTCCTACGACTCTCCCTAAAAACATTACCCCACTCGCATTAACATTCCCCCTTTTCACACTTGTAACGCAATATACTATTTTTTCATTGCGGCCGTAAGGCAGTGCTTAGCGCAATGTCTGGGAATTCCTGCTTACGATTGACATAACCAAAAAAACGTTTGTCACATGACCGAAAACAAGTTTTCGAGCTCATACGATTGCAATCCTAGCCATCGGCTGTGGCTGCAAACTTATGCGTCCGAAAAATTTCTGTCGGCCTAGTAACGAAATAACTGTTTGGATGAAGGATGTAAAAAAATTCATTTTGCAAGCATTCTAATTGAACGAAATGAAGTGAGCATTGCTGGTGCAATAATAATGCATTAATGAACGATTGTTGAATCGTTAATTAGCGCATTTTATATTGAACGGACCATACACCCATAAAAACTCCTTCTTCTTGAATAAAGTCGAGGGATCCGCCTTATTTCATACCGTGATTGACGGCCTGAATGAGATCTAATTCAATAATATGCAAAATAGCACAGCAATTTAATTAAAATCAGACCTGACTTAATGCACGTAAAATTGATTCATGGCGAGTCCTACTTAATTCACGTGGATTCGGTGACTCGATTCAAATGGATTTTAGACAAGTATCAACTCGATTTGAATCAGGTATCAACGCGCAGCAAGTCCGAAATCCGGATTGATGACGGCATGGTCACACTACTTTGGAGCCCAAAGAAAATCTACTACAATGAAGTCGAGAGTTACTTGAATCATTACTTTTTTTTTATATTTGAAGATATAAAACTATAAAAGTTCATAAAATTGAGCACTGATGGTCGTGATTCTTTTGAAATGATCGTCGCAAAAAGGGTGTCTATTTGCATTACTACTAATAACTAAAATCTTACCTTTGACCCCGATTCAAGAATGCTGTTGATCACACTGAATGTGAAATGAGACTTGAACAATCTAGGTGATGGTGAGTCTGCGTAAACCTCAACAGAAGATTTTGTGGCATCAACTTTAATCATCTCGGGTACTTTGGGATTATCTTTATTTGGTAGTAGTATGAAACTGTGTGCCCAGAGATGTGGACAGAGGCTCGTACTAGAAGTAATTGACGAATCTTATCAAGTTACTATGGATAATATGTAGTCCAATACTTACTTTATGGAGACAACCTTCGCAAAGAAAGGAAATTTCCGGGCAGATTCAAAATCAAAATTATTCATTAGCAAATAGACAATCTCCTGGGTAACTGTAGTATTTAAAATGCAGAAAAAGTATGGCTATCGACTGCATATCGTTGAAAAGTTTCGTATAAGTCAGACGTAAGATTTCACCTGATCGAGGTAACGTCATTATCCACACATCGTCCGACTTTGCTTTAAAATTGCGATACAGCTCACCTAAGCCTCTTTCTTCCGAAGGGGTTCCATTACATAATCCTTCTCCTTTACACAGGTGAGCATAAGTTCTTTAAGCTTCTCGAGATTTGAGTATTTTGCACTTTCACTCATTCTTGAGGAGTCGATTCGCGCACTACTGCGACGCAAATTTGTCTCAAATCTGGTATTTATCTGTTAAAATGTAATCAGTGGAATGATAGCGGAGATAACCAGGTTGTGTGGTCACAAATTATCACTATTCGCGATAGGTATAAGGGACATTCCATGTTAACTTAGAAACCCCGGATTTTTTTTTTGTCTGGAAAAAATCATTTGATAGTTGCATTTTGAACTACTATATATAGATAGTATTCGTGCCGAATTTCATTCCTCTATCATTTTCTGTTCCTGAGATAATGATGACAAAACTTGGAATTTTCAAAAATTCATAGTTTTTGAACGGCGCATCCGATTTGAACAAATAAAAAAAGAAAATTTTTGTTTTTGTTTGTACTTTGAGAAAAAAAAATACTCCAGAGCCGTGCATTGCTTCTTCACTGATTTTTTAAGGAATTTTAACGTTTTTATCTTTTTTGTCTCTACGGCCTTCCGACATTCGATCGGAATAATTTTTTTCTGATAGAGGACGTCCATATATGATGTAAAAAAATACGCCATCATGGAAGAGACGACAATTGTGCCGGAAATTTTTTTTTTCTGAAATATGTGTTTCTTTGCCTTCTAGGGGAGCTGCCTAGTTTTTACCAAGAAACTGATGTCCCAATTAATACTTTTGGTTAATATATCATAGAAAAGAAATACACTACCATAGAAGAGAGAAACGGTGCGCCGGAGAAAATGTTTTCTCTGAAATTTTTGTGTTTTTTCAACATTTTTATAATATTCAACAATAACAATCGCTCTAGAATAACTTTTTTCAATTATTCGAAGGGTCACGCAATGGACAGTATCAGAAAAGATTTTTTCAGCACTATCAAGTAGAAAAAAATGGGAAAAATTGATTGAAAATGACTCTTTCGGTGACAATACACTTATAACATAAGACAGGAATCCTCAAGGTTGTTTCCTCTGAGTTTTCTTCGGAAAAACCTCCTCATTGGCTGAGGCAAAATAACGTTTTATCACCAATTGACCCCCTAGTCGTGGAATGAAACAATGATTCTTCTGAATAGCATGAATTCCTTTAGCTTTATCGAATCTATGTTTCAATTCTGCTTTAATCTTATTGTGCTCGTCTTTGGTGAAGAAAAAAACGTCAATCCCAGTGAAATAATTCTTAGCCCATTGGAACAGAGCATTTGGTGTGAGCATTGATTCACCATCAACTGTTTGCAGGCTTTTGCGTCTAGCTTCTCTTTTCAAAACTGCTCCGACTCCATCGCATGCCCCTTTACCGTGCCCGGTTGCGTGAAAATAAGCCTCTGCGTCGATGCCGAAATCAGCCTTATGATTCAAGAAATTAGCCATTTGGTAACGATTTTTGTAATGCTGAGCAGCGCCGTCTGTTACATAAATCATGAGTAATTTTTACGGAACAGATCGTAGAATTTACGTGACGATTGACACTTTTTATTGAATTTCACTTCGCTCCCAGATTACGTTTTGAAACGTAACTTTTACGTGTTTTTTCTAGTAATTTTTATTGAATATTTCTCTCCGTGCAGCATCTTGAGCAACAAAACAATAATTCTCAGCAAAATCACAGTGCACAAGCACTTCTCCTTTATCCAAATTTTCTCTTCGTTGCTTCACAAAAATTGATTGCTCTAGAGCGATGAAGTGGTGGGGCTTTAGTACTTTAAACCGTTCAGCAAGTACATCAACGAATTCGTTCACTGGAAGTATCTGTGTTTGCAAGATGCACCTGTCAATACCTTGCTACACTCGGAACTCGATATTTTCAATCACAGCTTTGGAGAGGACTTGTTTTAGCTCACATGACAATTGGTCAAGTCCAGGGCAATTCTTACATTCATCCAAATGACAGGCCGGCGTGGAATTTTGACACATGATTCTGCTGAGACAATCTTTGTAATCTGTGATTGGGCATGGTGAATCCTTCGTTAGAACCCGAAGATTGATAGCATCTAACATCAGTTTACGATTTTGATGGTATGTGCAAACACATACCACGTGTGCGCCACTCGCTCCCGCCAAAATACATTGCTCAGGTCTTAATTCTGCGAACTTACTGAAATCAACTGCAGTCTCTGAGTGAGAGGCTTTGTACTCTCGATGGAGATCTGTCAAATTTTCGAGTACCATTTGCTTCTGTTCTACTCTTTTCTCTCCATTAATTTTAATCGATATCTTATCTTTCATCCTGGGCATAACCTGACTATTTTCCAGATAAAAACTTCGCACCTTTTGAACAGTTTCGGCTGGTAATGGATGACCAGTCCTTGCAGTTGGTGAAGCAAATACTCCCTTAAATTCTCTCACCTTTTTTGCCTTCTCCGCCATATATCTCGAAACACTAAATTCGAGCGCAATTTTTCGGGCACTCCATAATCGAGGAAGAATGGTTAGAATTTGCAGCCGCTCACCGTATGAGTCCAAATCGTTGAACTTTTCATTCAAATCATTCAACATTTCCTATAATCCCAATTCCCTGGGAGAACGATACCGTTTCGTTGGTGGTGGATCATCGTCACTGTAGTCACTATTTGAATCCTCATCCATACTTAAATCGAAGAATCCACCTAAATCATGTGATCCATCGTGACGTGAAACGCTTGTATCATCAAGATGAAAAGATCGGCCTGATCTCAATGAACAGTCAATAATATGCGAGGTAGAATCATCAAATTCTGCTTCAGTCTTTGATACCTCTGGGGAAGAGATATCTTCTTAAAGAGTTTGATTCTTCAGAATGCAAGTGAGAGGAAATGATGGTACGACATACGTTGGCACTTTTATTGGGTATTTGCCGCAAATTTTTGCAATCGATGGTAGGAAGGGGAACTTCAATTATATTTCCCACGAAATCGGACGTAAATTGGTTCCATAGTGGCCTTTTTCACCTGGGCCTCGCATCGGATTTGCACATCTATCACTACGGGGCATCCTACTGAATACAAACAAATTGATTCCAAAAATCGCCTGAAAATATCTCTGTCATGAATGTCAGAAATTTTTACCTCAATTCAGAAATGAAGAGGAGAAAACGGGGATAAGTGTACACAATGATGGCTTAGTAATTAAGCTTAATGATCAAATTTTACTGATAAATGATGCATTTAATTAATACAGTGAACAATAAGCACGGTAATGAAACATCGATGAAGCATTTGAGACATCTCTCACAACTAATAGCTTACAGTCTGATAACGTTAAATCGATTGATAGATTCATTTTTTTATCCTTCTGTTGTGTCAAGTCTGAGTGATACAATCTTCTCATGCCACTGACTGGAATTTGAGCTTAATTTCTCTAACACGTGAATTCATTGCCTGATCCACTGTTGACTACATTATGATTAGAATTAGATTTCCTCACTCTGATGTTACTTTATTTTTATTTTATATCTATTGTTTCGTGTCGTAGATATATTTCTATTGGAAGAATCATTTTCAATCAATTTTTCCATTTTTTTTCTACTTGATAGTGCTGAGAAGATCATTTCTGATATTGCCCATTGCGTGACCCTTCGAACAATTGAAAAAAGTTATTCCAGAGTGATTGTTACTGTTGAATATTATAAAACTGTTGAAAAAACGCAAAAATTTCAGTAAAAAAAAGTTTCTTCGGAGCACCGTTTCTCTCTTCTACGGAAGTGTATTTCTTTTCTATGGTATATTAACCAAAAGTATTGATTGGAACATCAATTTCTTGGTAAGAACAAGGCAGCTCTCCTAGAAGGCGAAAAAACACAAAAATTTCAGAAAAAATTTTTTTTTCCGACACAATTGTCGTTTCTTCCATGATAGCCTATTTTTTTCACATCATATATGGACGTCTTCTATCAGAAAAAAATTATTCCAATCATATATTCGAGAGCCCTAGAGACAAAAAAAAACGCACAAATTCCTTGAAAAATCAGTGTAGAAGCTAATTCACTGCACGAGAGTATTTTTTCTCTCAAAGTACAAAAACAAAATTTTTTCCTTTTTTATTCGTTCGAATCGGATGCGCCGTTTAAAAATTATGAGTTTTTGAAAATTCCAAGTTTTGTTATCATTATCTCAGGAACAAAAAATGATAGGGCAATGAAATTTGGCACGAATACTATCTATATATATAGTAGTTCAAAATTCAACTATCAAATGATTTGTTCCAGACAAAAAAAAAATCCGGGGTGGCCGAGTTGACATGGAACGTCCCATATATAGGGAGGTCATACATCTTGGTAGTAATTACTATTATTGAAAAACTTCGAAAGAATTTTCTTTTAATGAACACAGGTTAAATAAATACTGCTGCGTCATGATTGGAATTTCTTCGAGAGCTTTTTGTCGATTCTTTCGTAATGTAATATTTAATTCAATTAATAATCTGCCCTAATCATAAATTTTCTAATTTCTCATTAACCAATGATTGCAGTCATTAGCGGACAGGCGCTTGGGCTCATCGCTAAATTACAAGGTGTCCCATAGGAATGTGTGAAAACTAAACTCATCTGCCGACTCATCCAAAATAACCTTGACTCTCTGCGTTTGTGTTACGTTTACTAGGGGCCAGTCAGTTTTATTTCATCTATGGCAGGAGTCTTAGTTTGTTAGCAGTAATGAGTGATTTGACAATTCAAGAAAAAAGATATCTCATCGAGTGCATCTATTCAAGAGGGAAAAAATACTGTGAAGCTTTTAGGGGGTTTCGTACTAAATTTGGACCCAAACGAGTTGCTAGCGAAACCACTTTGAAGAGGTTAGAATAATTTTTTTTTCATATTGATTGTGTGACATAACAAAACACATTACAGATTTTCGTAGAAATCCCGTTGGTTTCTAGTCATGATAATATTCTTTTTCTAGAATAATTGAAAATTTCGAGGAATACGGCACTTTGGATGATCATGGAGCTACTCTTCCAGGTCCCTCATTCTCTGCTGCAACAGAGGAGAAGGTCGATGAAGTTGAACAGTATTTCAATGCAAATCCCAACTCGTCCATTCGGAGAGCCGCTCAAGATTTAAAATTGACCAAATCAACGTTGCATCGCAATCACCACGTTTTTTTGAAACTTCATCCATATAAAATATCGATGTGTCAGCGTTTGACAGAGGACTCGATTCTGAGACGAAAGGAATTTTGTGAAAGAATGACCCAAATGTTCGAAAATTGGTGAGCTGCATGAAACAGCAATTGTTTTTTCTGACGAGGCACACTTTTGGCTAGACAATTACGTGAACAAAAATAATTTGAGATTTTGGGGATCTGAAAAACCTAATTTTTTGGTTACGAAATCTGCTCATCCACAGAAAGTCACTGTTTGGGCTGCTCTCTCCATGAAGGGTGTCTATCTACATTTTTTCGAATCTACCGTTACCGGGAATGAGTGCAAAAGAATGTTAGAAACAAAATTCTTCGCTCATGCGAGAAAAAGAGGGCTTGTCAATAAGTTTTATTTTATGCAGGATGGAGCAACTCTCCACCGTACTCACGAAGTCTTTGAAATTCTTAATACAGTTTATCGCGGTCGAGTTCTTGGTTTGGGATGTCCAAAATTTTGTGGAAGGGGAATAGATTGGCCACCCTATTCACCAGATTTGAATCCGTGTGATTATTTCCTGTGGGGTTACATAAAAGATTCTTGTTACGCAAGCAAGCCAAAAACAATCGAAAATTTGATAAACAACATTAAAAAGACTGTTCACGGTATTCGCCAGGAAACAGAACGTGTATTCGACGGTTTTGGGAAACGTTTGGAATATTGCGCCGTTGTTGATGGCTCTCATTTCGAAAATATTTACTATTAATCGCACTTGTCACGTACAATTTTTGTAAGCTACTATTTTTGTTGGGTGAATTACATGTTTCAATAATGAATATACGGTGAAATAAAAATGACAACTCTCCTCTATCAGGAACTGTATTCCTTCTCTTTTTCCCTGTTTCCAGTAAAAAAAAAAAACAAAGTTTTCACACATTCCCATGGGACACCCTGTACATGATATTGAATCATTTCATTTCATTGTCTTCTAATTTCATCATTCCGATCAGATTAAATTAAACATATTCAAATCTGCTTTCATCGGATGTTTGCTGGGCGGTCTCCGAGATAGAGTGTGAACCCTCAAGGTTCGTTCTGCCATCTCATTAACGAGGATGATAAAATAACAAGCTGGGTTGTAAGCCTTTTTGGCAGAAGCCATGTGACATTTACTATTTTTTTTCTATCAATTCTATTGGTAATAAGCTTCCGAATGGATCCGTATAATTTTGCAGATGATAACTACTCAAACAGCTATGCATATTGGTAAGGGGAATAAGCCACACCGACCTCTGATTCTGTCAGAGCTATACAATTTCATCCTGTAATGCCATAAGAGCTACAATTTTACCAAATTTTAACTTCTACCTCTGTCATAGCTATGACATTTCATCAAATATAAAATACCATAAATTGTTGTTATGACTTTTTAATTCATATAGAAACGAAAATGATTGATAAAATCACGATGTGTAATTTCCTAGAAAAAACGATTTTTAGAAAAATTGTTCTATGCCCGGATGGACTGAATCGATTGACACAAAATTTTCTACATAACTGTGGGCTCATAATACAAATTAGTACCCAGAATCTCAGATGTTTAGACCAAGCTTGACGCGTATTATGGACACCACATTAACTTTAAAATGAAAAAATTAGAAAAACACTGATATCTCGAAAACTTTGTATGGGCGGGTATACATATTTTGATTGATTTGATAGAAGATATTGTGACAAATATTTTGAAAAAAAAGTGAATCAGCCCAGTAGTTAAGGAGATATTAAGCATAACAGTTTTTCACAAAAAGTTGAATATCTTCTAAAGTACTTATCCAATTCACCTAGTGAACAATACAGTTCTGTAGTATCATAAGCGCTACAATGCTACCAAATTTCAACTTCCTATCTTGAATTTTCAGCGAGTTATCGTTTCCAAATCGATTTCCTAGTAAAAATGAAAAATGCCGATTATTACTAAACTGAACAAGTTACGTAGCAATATTTTTATTTGATTCGATAGATATTATTGTAAGGAATACTTTCCCGTCAAAAAACTTCAATTCTGTCAGGTAGTTTATGAGATATTAAGGAAATGTTTTTTCGAGAAATTGCTATATCTCGGAAACTACTGGGCCGATTAAGCTGAACGTGCGCTCACAACTGCTCCAAAGTAATACCAATTATTCCACAAAATTTCAGATTTTTAGCTCAAACTTTAGTCCTTTTTTCGGGGGATTTATAAAAAATTTCCGAAAAATCGGTATAAACATTCCGACATACGTACATACATTTTCTAAAAACATCATATTTTCACGTTTCATGACATTCCAAGCAAAATTACGAGATCGTAAAAATCATCGATTACAAGGCTTCCATTCGGAAGCAATAATAATAATAATAATAATAATAAGTAGTAGTAGTAGTGGAAACACTGATTGAAGCCAAGATATCGATACGACTCTTCGGCGCCAAGATGATGTATGACGCTTCCATCCACAAGCGGAAGATCATCCACCTTGCCACCAACCTTGCCCCTCTTCATATGGAAGATGGCGCACTTGTCCAATCCGAAACTCATGCCGACTGCACGTGAATACATTGCGACAGTATCAAGCTGAAGCTTGAGTTGCCGCTCTCCTGAGGCAAATAACTTCAGATCATCCATGTAAAACACATGACTGACCTGATGCCTCCTATCACCGGGTTTTCCGGCTTGATACCCTCCAACACAACGCAGCGCAACAGATAGCGGCATTAGTGAGATGCAAAATAATAGAGGACTCAGCGTATCACCCTGAAAGACTCCTTTCCTATGCGGCACCAACCTCGAAGTCAGCTTACCCTCACCAGATGTTATGGTGAAGCGCGTTCTCCAAAGTGGTGCAAGATCTTTGATACACCTCACTATGTGGTCCTCTACCGCAAGGCAATCCAATAGTAGGAAAATGAGTTCATGACTCGTGCTATCGAATGCCTTGCGATAGTCGACCCAGGCAACTGACAAATTGCGATGGTACTGCCCCAAATCGCGCAATACGCAGCGATCGACAAGCAGACCTTCCTTGCAACCTTACAGTCCCCGCTTCACTCGTCGCTGTTCATGTATCTGCTGCCACACTGGTTGTATATCATGCGCTCATTCAGGATACCGGTGAAGAGCTTATAAAGTGTATTCAAACACGTGATCGGCCGATAGTTCGCCGGATTGGACAAGTCTCCCTTCTTGGGGAGCATCACAGTCCTCCCCTCTACCAACCACTCAGGAATAAGCTCACTGCCATCGAGAAATGTCATGAATATCCGGGCCAGATGGTCATGAACAGAGGTAAACCTCTTCCACCAAAAGGCGTTAATGCCATCAGGACTCGGAGCGGCGTGGTTCTTCATACCTCGTAAAGTAGATCGAACCTCTTCCTGAGTGATTCGCGAGAATTTCGCGGGCTGCCGACGATGTACATGACAAAACGCGCGAAACCCCTTGAGGGCTGGAGTCTCCACCATGAGATTGGGGGCCTGACCGTAGAGACCCCCCCAGAACTCTTCAACCCGCTCGACTGAAGGCATTTTATCCGGTGCAGGCGCGGGTGGATCGAACCAGCGATTGGGGTCGGAGTGAAAGACAGAATTGTCGACCACCCGTCGCAACTGCTTCTCTAGAGACCGTTTCGTAGTCCCCAGAACGCGCACTTTCTCAACAAATCTCTCCTTAATCATGAGGAGGACTTGTTTATTCAGTGTGTGATGGTGGTATCGCAAATTCGCAGATATTCTGCGAATGCGGGCCGTGAAAGCCCTACCACTGCTGACAAAGTCCATCACACACTGAATGCGCGACGCTTGCTTCCTTGCCTCTTCGATCTTACCCTGGATCTGTGCGATGCGTCTCCTCATTTTCCCCTCAAATGACCCCACTCTTGGGGTTCGAGGTTTCAGACGGAGAGCCGCATCATACACAGCCCAGTTCAGGTCGAGCAAATTGATGTCCGGTGAGAGCCCCGCTGTCAGAACCTCATTCTCCACAGCCAGCTGTTGTGCCTGGAGAAGAAACTTCCCCGTGACTCTTTCCCGCCTTGTCCCTATCCCTCTCGGAGCCCTCTCAGGCTCCTCATCTCTCTGTTGGGTCGGCTGCTCCGGCTGTGTACCATCTTCTTCCTGAAGAGGAGGAAGGTCCATCAACCCCCGCGGAACGAGCAGTAACTCATATCCTTGCTGACGCAAGCGGCTGACTTGATCTCTCAGATGTTGACTTGAGAAATGCGAGAACT